GAGAAGGATACTTTAGATACGCACTGTATCCAGACGGAAGATATTAGATTTATAAAATGTGACACTAGTGCTCATAAAGACTACAACTCAGAGAGCACCTCAGAAAACCTCTCTGAACCACTGACAACTTCCTTAAATCCCAAGCTCCCCTCTGATTCTGACGCCTTGCCTGCAGAAGCCTCCACCGAGGTTCAAGAGCAGTCCTGTATCTCCCACACTCAGACCAAGCACTGCTCTACTGTGCTACACAGGCACAGCGCTCCCGAGAAGCTCCTTGCTACACAACTTCAATTGCTGCAGTTTAACAGTGACAGCCCTTCTGTGGAACCATGCAGTTTATCAAACCCTTCTGAGCCCTCTTTGTCTCCCTGCAGCAGCCAGTGGTCCCCTTCATCACTTCAGCCAATGAGTGAACACCAAGAAGCTTCTCAAAACCACCTTCATGCCACGTCAAACAAATGGGGAGGTAGCCGATGCTCAACCCCAGGATCTGTGTTCTTCGAAGGAGATGGTGATGACAAAGATTCAAGAGAGAGGCTGAATGTGAATGGCGGTTCTCTCACACCGGATCAGCATCACATGCCATGGGGTCGCTCTGTGAGCGTGCCAGGGGAGAGCACAGGATCGTCAGCACAGGAAAGACTGAGCTCTGACCAGATGCTTGAGCGGGACTTTGAGCCTCTTAGTGCTGCTGCAAGTATGGATACCTTACTGGATGAGCAAAGAGCAGTGGACAGAGGAAAAGGAGAAGACAAAAAACAAGAAGTTGTAGAAGGTGAGGCAAGTGGAAAAAAGTCCAACTCTTCCAGGAACCATCGAAGGAACCGCCGGCGAAGCGAGAGATTTGCCACCAACCTGCGCAATGAGATTCAGAGGAAAAAGGCCCAGCTTCAGCGCAGTCGAGGTCCAGGAGGGTTACTGTGTAGTAGAGAAACTGTCCAGGAGGAGGATCCAGATGTCAATGAGGAGGGAGATGCAGAACAGCCAGCCCAGGAAGAGGGTGCCAAGGCTACATTTGCCACTCCTTCTCTTCCCCAAGATTCCCAGACCTCAGAACCAGTCATACCATCAAACACCTCAAGTGAATCAGACCGTGATGTCTTAAAGACTCAGTCTCCCTCCCTAACCTACCCTCAGAACAATAGTTTATCCAGGTCTGTCCAAATTCTGGACCCAGGCGCCCCGAGTTTTGGTGTTGGCATCCGAGTTGTGGAGGAACCAGCTCCCGCTGGCAAGGCCCGCCGTTGGCGTTGGACCCCTGAGCACAAACTCCAACCAGAACCTGATCAAGACAGACAGTGCAGAGTTTCCAATGAGAGCGTTTTAGGAGTAACAGGGTCTCGTCATGGAGTTTGTGCTTTCACCTCATCATCTACATCAACATACGGCCGCTTGTCTTCAGGTTCTCGAACGGAAGATTCTGATATCCTTCCGTTTGCAGATAGAATGAAGTTTTTTGAGCAAACGAGCAAGGGCGTGTCTGTTTCAAATGCCCTGGGGTCTATCCGGAGCACCAGAGGGGGAGAGCCTCCAAACCAAAGGAGATATTCCTATCAGGGGAGACCGCAGGAAAGCTCCCTGCTTTCAAATACTGTGGAGGCCAGGAGGCAGTCTGTGAATAACAGCAGGGAGAGGCAGAAAGAAAAGGAGAGGGAACAAGCGAGAGAAAGGGAGGAGAGGTTGAGGGAGCGAGAGGAGAGGCTAAGAGAAAGGGAGAAGCAACAGGAAAAGGAAAGACAAGAGAGGGAACTGGAAATGGAGAGGGCAAGGATGAGGGAGATGGAGCGGGAGAGAGAGCGAGAGGAGCGGGTCCGCCAGTGGGAAAGGGAGCTCGAGCTGGAAAGGGAAAAAGAAATGGAGAGAGCCAGAGAACGAGAGCGACTCCAAAATCAAAGAGAGAAAGAGCTTGAGAGAGAAAGAGAGAAGGAAAGGGAAGAAGACTGTCAGCTCACCTCTCATCAGGAGTGTTATCGTAGCTGTGGCTTCACAGTAAAAACTCAAGACTTCCAACAACACAAGGAGAACTTCCACAACTTTCAGCCCAAACCTCAGATATTCTCACACAGCCAAACCCAGAGTCACGTCCCACGATCAGCTTTTTATCCAGTCAGCACCCTTTCCCAGCGACCAGAGAACCGACAAGCTCTGCCCCCGGGATTCTCAGCACAGAGCTACACATCTGCCGAGGTAAGAGGGATGCTCCAAGGGTCTACTCCATTTTTTTTACCTTGCCCCAACTAAATGAGCAGGAAACATGGTAATACCCCAGATACGACTATACGATAGCATCAGTAAAGTAGAATTCTTTTCGTTTACTGTCCCCTTTTAACACCTAGAGTCCCAGAGAGCAGCCATTTGGCTTTTCTTCTAAACAAAACAACCCTCATTGACTTGTTCACTTCATATTTTGCCTCTGCCTCACCTGCAGTAACCCTACTACTAATGGTTGCTTTATGTTGTAAGGTGAAGACTCCAAAACCCCAATTAAATTATCTCCATGAGCAAGCACTTGGCTACAGTGGCAAGGAAAAACTCCCTTTTAACAGGAAGAAACCCCAGCAAAGTTTCTATCTCCATATTTTAATTCTTGGCCTCTGTTAAAGGATCTCTGTGGGATTACAGTTTAAACTATAATAATAAGGTAATATAATAATAGTAATAATAAGGTATAAAACATCTAATTTTCCTATAGGAAAATTACAGGTGAAACATTTAAAAGCAGTTGGAAAGAAAA